GCTAGTATGAATGGATGTTTTCCAGTAATGGGCTGCAGCTGGATGTGCATCTTGCTGACTCACGGAATTAAGCCAAAGGAAAGGATATATATATATATATATATATATATATATATATATATATATATATATATATATATATATATATATATATATATATATATATATATATATATATAATATAATATATATAGACTAGCTTTATGTCTATTATATATATATTTTTTACTTATTTTATCTTATTTAAGCCTGTCAATAAAAACGAAATACACCAACCAGGACTACTCAACTCGTACTTTTATTTTGGAAACAGCCTCGTCAACACTGTCTCTAAGCAACTCGCACTTCCGCACAGGATTACCGTACGCTTGCGGCTGTTTTGCAGCGGGACATTCATTCTAATCTTTTCGCACAATCAAGACTTCGTAAGAAAATCACCGGCTCCTTCCAAACTTCCCATGGTGACGGTAAGGCTTTGCTTCCAACATCCGACAAAATATTCTAATAAATGTTAAGTTCTGGATCTCAGACTGTATCCATTGTTTTTAATGTAACGTTAGCGCTAAGTGTTAGCCGATCTATCAGTCGAATCTTCACATGTTCTTGTTTTGATCGTTTTAAAAAGCCGCAAAGCTCGTTTTGTAACTTAACAATGATCGAAATCTTTCATCTCGGGGAAAAAAAACTTGTACGAGTGAATTTAGAGCGACGGAGCATCTGCTGCGCTGATTTCTGGAGCAACATGGCGCCTGCTCGAGTCGTGCAATAGTCGAAATATGCGTCTTTAACCTCAATGCGTCTAACAGGCAGAATATGCATCAACAATCTGCATCATTTTCACGAGAATATGCGGTCTCTGTCGTCTGCAGGAGGATTTACGTGGTGTTTTACTGTGTTTGATTTTGCGTGACGTCACCCACGGTCACAAAATGGCTGACGAGAATTCGCGCTGTCCGCTTTCACTCTTTGACCTGCTTATTTGCTCTACCTTTCGGGTTATGAAAAAGGTAAAACTCGAAGAAGTATAAATAACTCGAAGAAGTAATAAATGTACTAATTGTCAAGAAATCAATGCCTTAGCAATTAACTGTCTTGGTTGTATGACATGACAAGGTGTTACGTTTTCTTTTGTACTAAATAACACTATAAACATTCTGAAAAATACCCTCAAATTGGTTATTTGAGAACAAAACAAGTTATACTTGCGAGCATTTATTAATTTTACTATTTGACTCAGCACAGAGAAATACTGTTGTAGAGTTGTTTAGTAACACTATATAATATTCCACTTATTGCCTTAATCTCTTTTAATAGAATATTTCATGTAATTCAGACTATGATATGTAATTCACATGGCATTGTACTCTTTATATATTCAGAATATTTGATATGCTTTTAACAAAACAAAATAAAATATACTTACCTTGCTGCAGAACTATTGACGTTGGAACGACATTCATCGGGGAAAATAGCTCTGAAAACTCAGGGTCTGATGACATTTAGTAGCTTATCAAAATGTCAGATATGAGAAAAAGACAATGCAGACCACAAAGACTACAGCATTTGTCTTTGGTGATGAAAACATGCACAATTTCCGTCGGTGCAAGTTGCATTGCTAAAAATGGAAAATAGACTCCATTTCAGTGCCTTATTGTTGTGCGAGAAGTCCTCAGGTCGTGACTGCCAACATTTTTACTGACTGAATTCTGTTCAAGCGTCACTTCTATGTTTTGGATATGGGATTTACATTTTGGACATCCTGCGAGAAACGCTTGGGGAGCATTTTAAATTGATCCCTATTAACGTTGACTACTCTTTCAGGTCTGTCTGGTTGGTGTTTCCTACAGCGAAAGGTCTCGTGTTTTCCGTTTCGTGAATCATCCAACAGGTTTTCCCTTTCGTCTTCATCAAGAATCAATCCTTCTTCATATTCTTGAGAAATGTTTGATTTAAAATGCACAATCTGATGAGAACGTTTCTAAAAATCCCTAGGCCTCCTACGATCAAATGTTTTAAGCCAAAAACATTTTATTTTGTCTGAATGACCAAACAGGCAGCAAAACACGGCATGTAAATCAACTTGGAACTGAATGAATATGTTGTGAATCTTCTCAAGAGAGTCTTTAAAGTCAACATGAAACTGCGTAGATCCTTTTTTTCATATTATGCATTAAAAATAGATAACAGTAAATCAATTGAAGCAGTGTTCTTTCACACTTGATTGCTATTTATTTAGATGGTAAATGTTAATATTATGTTGACTCGTAAAGACTTCTGCAGTGTTTTCTTATTTTGTCCAGACATTTTACCTATGGAATCTCTCTTTTCTTACATGTCGATGCATCGTCAATTTCAAGACCTTGGGGGAAATATAGCTAAAGAAATAGTCTTGTATCTAAAATCAACTGCAAGCGTTCCTTGAAAGCGGGCCTCGACCTAAATCTCGTAGAGCCATGTCGCACAGAAGAAGTCGGAGTGCTACACCACCACCCTCGTACGTCACCAACAGCAATGACCCTCGCGACCTGGAGCGACGGATTTTTGTTGGAAATTTGCCCACGGCTCACATGGCGAAGAAGGACATGGAGGATCTTTTCAGGCCATATGGGAAAATCCAGGGTTAGTAGCGTATAAATTTAAAGACTTCGAAAAATTATGTGTTTTATCCACAGTTCTTTAGTATGGTCTCGAGATCTTAATAGCGTTTTGGAGAAAGCTAAGGAAGCTTAGGCCTAAAATCCACCAATAAAACGCTATTTTTTTTTGCGTAAAACGAAAATGATTGTTCCCTTTTTCAGCTTTGTCCCTGTTTCGTGGGTATGGATTTGTGCAGTTTGAACGATTGGAGGATGCAGAGGCCGCTAAAGCCGGACATAACGGTCGAGTTTATAGAGGTTATAAACTAGGTAAGGTCTGATTTAGTATTTAAACGCAGGAGTTATTAGACTTGAAGAGAAAAAACAAATCCTTGTATGTAATTTTACTGTAACTCTACTGTCGTGAATTTAATAAAGCAAATCATTTTAACTTCATCTTCTAAGAAACTGTGTCTAGAGATTTTTTTTATATGTAAAAGGTATATGCTAAATAAAACCAAGTTGCCACTTTTTATCAAATAAGTTACATTTTAGTATCTTCTGACATTTAAAAAACAAAATTGACATGCATACATTTTATTCCCCTTGATTTAACTGGTTTTGTTCATGACTGGGGAATTACAATTGTACAACAATGTTGTTATTATGGTGCAATTTTTTGAATTACTAATACATAAATGCTTTTCAGTGGCTTCTTATAACTATTTGTGTTAAGTGGCAGTTCTTATTGGTGGTTTAGATTAGTTAGGTATTCAATAAGCGTTTACAGCAGGGAAAATCAACTCCTGATGTACAAATGCAAAAATTAACAAGATCCTGCACTCCTTTCTTACTACATTTTAGAAAGTTATCGGGTACTCGGGTAAAAATCTATTTAGAATATTTTATACATATTAAAGAACCTTAAATAATTTCAATTATTGTAATTTACTGTTTGTTTGTGTTAATGTAATATTTGTGTTTTTGCCATAATGATATGGCAATAAAACAATAAATAAGTACAATGTTTACTTCACAAACTGTAGTATTTACTTTTAAGCTACTGTTGAAATGCTTATAATTTAAACAAACAAATGATGCAGAACAAAGTGTTTCTCTTTTGTTAATCAAACACTCGTTTGGCTCTGAAATATTTCCGTCATCTGTCATGTTGAACGTTTGGATTGGTTTATTTTCAGATGTAAATATGGCAGCTGAGAGACGACAGAATAAATCCAGATCAAGTCCTCCACGCAGGTAATGTATCGCTGGGATCTTTTTGCTACTGAAGACGACATCTATCGAGAATTTTGGTAACCGTTTTCCCCTCCACACCGGAATTCACCAATATCGCAATATCATTGTCGGGTGCGCAAAATCGGTTCAGTTTACATTTCTCGTGGCTTTTCGCTTTTT